AAGGGAAGGGGAGCTGCATGACCCTAAAACTCATTCAGGACATGAAGAGTTTAATATTACAGTCTTGGAAACCTTGGGGAGGTGAAGCCAGGAGACCATGAGCAAAATTTGGGTCTGAAGATGTTATTCCCTTAGTACTATTAAGAGAATATACGATTAGGAGGAATCAACACCATGATGAGACCATTGAGCTCTGCTAAGCCAAACTCACTCAACTCTGGTTGTCTAAGTTAGGCACTAAGTTAAGCTGCTCACCCTCATGAAAAAAAAAGTGTGAATTACAGGTTTCTGTCCCTGATAACATGAAGGTTCAGAATAAAACAACTAAATCTTTACAGGATTAAAGATGAGAATTAAAATCTTACCCCACCAGATGAGTGTCAGGACCAGAAGACTCAGCAAAGATCCATTCTCCGTCAACAGAATATTTCTTTGTAGAAATATTCTTTACATTTTAAAGTGAATATCACTATTTCAGGGCCAGTGGTTAGGTTCATCTGTCCTTGTGAGTTTGCTCATCTCTTATTTTCCAAGGCTCCTTAAACATACCATAACCATCATGATAAGCACCAGTGCCTAAAGGGGCCACAAGAAAGATGGAGAAGGGCTTTGGACAGGGGCCTGTACGGACAGGCCAAGGGGAATGGCTTGAACCTGCCAGAGGGGAGACTGAGATGAGCTCTTAGGCGGAAGCTCTTCCCTGGGAGGGTGCTGAGGCACTGGCACAGGGTGCCTAGAGAAGCTGTGGCTGCCCCATCCCTGGCAGTGTTCAAGGCCAGGTTGGACACAGGGGCTTGGAGCACCCTGCTCCAGTGGAAGGGGTCCCTGCCTGTGGCAGGGGTTGGAGCTGGAGGAGCTTTAAGGTCCCTTCCAACACAAACCAGGCTGGGATTCTGTGATGGGCTTGGGAGCATCCATCAGAGCCACCAGCGACAGGTCTATCTAGGAGCAACTTGTCAGAACATGACTGATGGTCCCTTAGACCTTTTTACTGTGCTCCAGGTACTTCCAGAGTATCTCAGCTACCCATTTTTGACTCCTTTTTGCACAGAGACAAGTCATTCCAGTGCTCCACCTCTATTGCAAGACCAAACCCATTCCACTACAACCTCTTTTGAAAAGGGATGATGCTAATCCAGTTCTTTTTACAACATTTCGGGAGGGGTGTAGCAGCAAACCGATAGTATATTCATGGTAACTTCAGTGTCGTTTGCCTCTGCTCAACACACTCAATAGACACCAGATTCTTCCAGTGCCTGGAACATTTTTGGGGGTTACAATTCACACTGTTTCTTTCAGTATATAGCTAAGTTTTCCCTTTAAATAACAGAAGCCCATGCTTTGAGATCAGACTGACAGCATGAACAGAGCCATATTTGGATCAGATTTGATCCATAAGTGGGATTTATTCATCCATCAGTTGCCAACAGCATTAAGCATTGGTATATGAGCTAACTGCCAAGAGTCTCTTTGCAGTCAGGAGAAATGAAGGTGGTGGCTCAGCTGTTCAGACGTGGGTGTCCAGGACTATCAGAGACTTACCATACATCCCTCTGGCTACCCTAAAGGACACAAGCCATGCCTGCCAGACCTGTGTCCATACATTCTATGATATCTCAGGGGGAACTGGATGGATCAATAGAGTCTGTGTAGCCCAAAGGAGGATTTGCCATGGCCAGAGAAGACCCACACATGGTCCCATGAACAGGCTAAGTTTTCCATCAGAACCAGAGAACACCAGGGTGGAAGGGACCTCAAGGATCATCTGGTCCAACCTTTCTAGGCAAAGCCTGATCTAAGCTAGATGTTCCAGCACCTTCTCCAGCTGAAGCTTAAGTGTCCAATGGGAGGGAATCCACCACTTCCCTGGGGAGACTGTCACTGGGCTACTGATTTGTATCCCTGAGAGCCTAAAGGACTGGCTGAGAGATGGGCAAATGAGATGGGTTTGGGCTCACCTTGCTCCACATCAGCGTGACATACAGACCAACACATGAGCTATAGGTGTCCCAGGTTATCTTCCAGTCTGTGAACTCCAGTGGTGCCATTCAGTTGGCCAAAGGAATGGCTGAGAAATGCTGCAGGACTCACTGGAACCCATGAGCTTCTGGAGGAAAGCATCAATGTCACAAGCACAACCAGCAACAATCTGCATTAACAAACCCGAATATGGATGGAGAAGAGCAATGCAGACAGCTGTGTTGACCCCAGACAAGTGTTTGGTTGGGTTTAGCTTCTACAAATGGCAATATTTTAACAGCAGGGTTTATATTTGAGGAGTTTCTGTGCCAACACTTTCACCAGTGATTCCTGTTTGTTCCCACTTCAGGCACAGCTCAAAACACCCTCCCCTTCCCTGAAAAGGTGACTAAAAACACATATTCCAGTTATTGCCAGAATAAACTTATTTTGCTTCTTACAACAGCATGACAAGGAGGAAAAACAACTTGTAGAAAGCAGGTAGAGAGTCATCAGTTTATTAGGTATAAACCTTCAAAGTGTTTATCACTAAATTCCTTGTCTTGTATCAGCTCTGTTGTGTCTAAGGATGTTTTGAGCCTATTAATTTTCCTCTTATAATGACGGTGGTAATGGAAAGGGGAAGTTTCAAATAAAAAATACATTGAAGTTACGTAGAACTGAAATCTGACCTAAGGAAGTGCCATGACCCATATGCTGGGTGGGCCTTATCCACCTGAAATTCAGATGGCCTGAAGTTAAATATATCAGAATCATGATATACATTCTATATGCAGCTGATATCTTTACATATCGTTATTATATCTTTATGCACCATCATTCACTTGAGCCATTTGAGTTCCTTCTAAGGAGGGAGACTGAGATCAGATATAATGTCTACTTATTAAACTCCATTTTTGGCCAGTGAAATCCCACAACTAATGGTCTTGTGGATACAGAGAACTACATGCTTAGAGAAAAAAAGAAGAGAATAAAAATAGAAATGTGTTTTATTGCAACAAACGCAGCATGGCTTTACTGTACATTAAGTTTGAATATACGTATTGAACAATTCCACTCAACAGTACATTTAGGAACCATCACTGTCCAATCCTTTGCTCTGTATATTAACAAAATCATTTGAAGTATTTCTTCACTATAAAAAGCACTTTGAAGGATTAAAGCGCAGCAGGGAAATCTTCAAATACCTTTGAACATTCTTTGATGGGTCGTTGATCAGGGAAGAAAATTCCAAGAAGCTCCTCTCCAGCTTCCCTGTTTCCTGCAGCTTTAGGAAACTTTTCTTCCTCCTCTCTCCTCCAAGCCTCCTTGGTCTGCTCTGTGAGTTCTTCTGCATGCTCCCATCTGTCATGGGGATTACCTGGAAGCACTGAAATTCACCTTAAGTCCATAGATCACATCTCATGGCTGGAAGAGGTACAGCACTTGGTAGAGCGTCCACCATACTGGTGAATGGTGTCCCAGCTGTAAGAGACCACAAGTGGGCTCTTGAAAAGACAGCTGAGAAACTAGTCCAAGTCCTCAGCAGAAATCTCATAAATGGGTTATTTTAACAGGACTGAGCCTTGTCATCATATTTCCCTTCAAGAAAGAAGCGATTTGGGGTTGCTTAAGCAATGGCAGGTACATAGGAAAATCCAACACATTCTTGCCTTCAAATATTCAGGAACAAGTTGGACATTTTAGCATGTTTCATCACAAATCAACCTTTGGTGGCTCTTCAGTGAGTATGTGTTTCTCCTGTTATGAAATACACAATCAAGAGGCAAATGTATAGCAAATTACTCCCACATCGATAAAGCTGGTCTACAAAATGGACAATAATATATAGAAGTATCATCACAGCTTCTCTCCAACCTCAAAAAGACTCAAAAACACCAACCCCACTCCCATCACTAAGTGTCAAACCATTTACCACTTCGGCAGGGAAATAATCGTTCTCCCCACTGTTCTCTTCAGAGCACTCTTTACCTCCTTGTTCCTCAGGCTGTAGATGAAAGGGTTCAACACTGGGGTCACCGTGGTGTAAAAGACAGAAACTGTTTTGTCCCTGCCCACGTTGTAGCTGGAGCTGGGCTGTAGGTACATGAAGATAAGGGTCCCATAGAAGATGGTGACAGCCACTAGGTGGGATGCACAGGTACCAAAAGCTTTGCCCAGCACAGAGCCTGTCCTCATGACGGTGAAGAGGATGTGGCCATAGGAGATGAGGATGACTGATATTGTGGTGACCTCATTGAAGCCCCCAATAGCAAACAGCAACACTTGGTTGAGGGAAGTATAAGAACAAGCCAACTTTGAGAGTGGTGGCCCATCGCAGAAGAAGTGGTCAATGACATTAGGGCCACAGAAGGACACCCTCAATGCAAAGCCTGTGGAGACAGCTGAATTAAAAAGCCCAACTGCATAGGACCCACCTAAGATGGAAACACAGACGTTCTTGGACATGAGGATGGGTTAACGCAAGGGGTTGCAGATGGCAACATAGCTGTCATATGCCATCCCAGCCAGGAGGTAGCACTCTGTGATTGCAAAAGCAGCATAGAAATAGAGCTGTAGGAAGCAGCCAGCAAAAGAAATACTCTTCCTTTCAGACAAGAGGTTCAGCAGCATTTTGGGTATCACCACGGAGGAGTAGCACAGATCCAAGAAGGACAAGTGGCTGAGGAAGAAGTACATGGGGCTCCGAAGCTGGGAATCGAGCCAGACTGCAGCAATGATGCCAAGGTTTCCTATCACGGTGGTGACATAGATGAGCAGGAAAAGCACAAAAGGGTAACCTGGAAGTCGAGGCAATCTGTGAACCCCTTGAAAACAAACTCTGTCACCGTAGTCCAGTTTTCCCAGGCCATCAGTGTCCAAGAGGCTCCCAGCTCCCAGGCAGCAGGGTGGTTTCCGTGGGCTTGGTTATGATGGCTTAATCCCTTGCTTAACTATTAGTGGGGTTTAAGCCTGTTCTCTGTAGATAATGAAGACATTCTCTAATGAAACACAGCCAGGCACCTTGGCAGGATGCTTAGATGGTCCACAACCACCTGCCCATGCAGGGAGTCACTGACTACATCTACTACTCAAGCTCTTAAACCAAGCTTTGAATGTATCTTCAATCTTCACACACTGATTTCAAAGGAAGTCTGAAGCCAACAAAACAAGTTTTCCCTTGGACATCACCGTGGTCTTCACTATGTTTCCATCTGCCTGCAGTTTTCCCCACATTAAGGGAAGAGCAGCTCAGGTTGACTGCTCTGATAATACAGGGTAAAGAAATATTAACTTTCATGCTGCTTTTCAGGTTGAAGATGTCCCAGAGACTCTTTTCATTACCCCAGGTAGCTCAGAGTCTGAATTTGTTGCTCCTTAGTCTAAGTGCTCAGAAATAAAAGCAATATGTTGGTTTTCATTAAAAACAACTGATTAATAACAAGGTTAGTGGCTACTTTGGGGCTAAACTGCATCTCAATAACTGCTCTCATCTCAGAATAAATACCTAGAAGAGAGAGACGGGCATATGAATTTATCTTTGCTTCTCCAGTAACTTCCAGCTTCACTGGTGACTTGTTAAAAATGTGTTTTTCCCTTTAATTTCTATCATTCAACTTACATCTTAAGCAAACAGCAAATACTTTCAAGCAACTGATTTCCTGCCAGATTAAGGTCAGGAAGTAAAACTTCCATTTAGAAAGGATTTATAACATAACCATGTATCTCAAACACAGACATTTGAGAGGAGTTTAAAACTAGTTCCACCACCATCCCCCAAAACAGTACCTGAGATGCCACTTCTGGTTTCCTGTTGAAGACCCAGCCTCTTTGAGGCTGAGCTATTATCGTGCCTACCTCTTGTTCCTTTCTCCAAGGAAATCATTCAAAGACAGAACCTGCACCTTATCATTGCTGAGGGGAACTAGAAAGGCAACAATACAGACAAATAGAGCATATCCTATTGAAATTGTCTATGCTGATCTCTTAAATAGGATAAAATACATCCCCAAAAAGGATTGTGTCAGGAGAGGGGGTAAATACATAAGATATTAGACATTTCTTCTGTACATGTTTATATTTGTCCCAGTATAACCATTACCACTAAGCAAGGAGATCTTTGCAAAGAGAAAAGGCAATTTAAGCTCCTGTGACAATCACTGCTACATTCCTTTGGCATTGCCTCTAAGCAGATCTTCCTTGCCCATTTGCATGACTATTACACAGAAGCATCTCTGTCTTTACAGTATTTTTCCACCTCCCAGCTTGCTTTATATACCAGAGCTTCAGAGAAGAAATTTTGTGATTCTATGAGGCTGTGCTTCACCATTCCATGAAATCCTCCAAGTCTCCTTTCCTTCCCTGTTTAGTTCTACATGGTGTTGCCTGTCCATGTATGGCTGTGTCTCCCAGAGGCTCCTGTCTTCACTATTTATTGCTTTCCAGCTTAGATGGTTGACATAAGCTGCCAGCAGTCTCATTGGGCACATCACCCCATGCCAGTCTTGTTTTCTCCCTCCTTTAAATATAATTGGAAAGTTGCCTAAGGGACTTCACAAGTCAGGCATCTGGAGCTATTACTGCCTCAACCCCTGAGATGGGCTGTCTTCTGGGAGCCAGAATACACTGAAATCAGAAATTGCTGTGAGGTTATTGACAAAGAGCATCTCTTAGTGCTGACATCTCAGCACCTTGTAACTACAGAAACCCTCAAGCTGGACAGCTTTATGAGTTTTTACTAAGACTGGAAACCCATTACCAAACCACCTACTCAAAAACATCATTCTACAATTGTATTTGGAAAATGGAGGTGATACTAATGACCACAGAATAACACTCGAGTATAAAGTTCAATTGATCACTCTAATTCCCTCACTGAATAGACTATCTCCTATTGTGCCCATGCAGGGATATGGTCTGGATGGAGAGGGACTGCCAGAGGAGTGAGCAGTGGCTGGGCTGTTGGGTGCAGAGGGTAATGGATTCTACTCTGCAGGAACATGGGGAGTGCCATAGGGACTAATCTATCTAAATTGAACCGAAGGAGAACACCACTGTGTGCAGGGACCATCCCATGGTACCTGAGCAGGAAAAGTAGAGCAGGAACAGAGACCTAGGCCAAGTTCAGCCAAGATTCCAGAGCATCAGGCGAGTTGGAGACTATGAAGCATGTCCAAAACCAAGCCAACACAGGTCAAGTCAATCCCCTGGTCAGGTTTAGGTCCAGCAATTGCTAGGGAAGTCCACAAGCAACCTCAGATCACCATCAATGGATTCCATAGATGGGCACAGCTAATGCTAAACTGGAAACCAGAATTTCTCAAGCATAGTGCAAAAACCTTGGGCTGAGCTTAAATAGAGATGAGGGGTAAATGGGTGGAGGGTAGGGATGAAGCCCCAGCTGAGGCTGCTCAGGTGGATAAAGGCCTATTAGCTCACCCTGGGACAATTCATCACTGCTTCAAATGCCCATTTCTCACCCTTCAATACAGTGGAAGCCCTAAAGCACCAGCTCAGGTGTTGGCCATCCAGGCACTACATGTGGATAATCCTATTGGGGCTGGAAAACTGGGCACGCAAGTGTGCACAGAGGGACAGCAGCAGCTCCAGAGAAGGAGTCACTTGCTCTTCGTGTTGTATTTAGGGACCCTCTGTAAGATCAGGAATGTCTCTAAATCCCTCCTCATTCTGTTGCCAAGGTGAGACCAAAACCTTTGCATAGTCCACAAGTATGCCAGAAGCATCCTATGAGCTGCTCAGCACTGTTGCTGTGTAGCTGTGCTCAGGCTTGGGTCATCCACTCTCAGATTCCCAAGCACCACAATGCCTTTCAGAGGTGATTTCATACCCTTTGCTTTTTGCTTCTCTTTGTTTTCCTCAGGTAAGTCATGAGCACCCTGGAGGCTTCCTCCCAGCAGAGCACATGCAACTGTATTTACAGCCTCAGCACCACAAGCTGGGCTCTTGGAGTCTGAAGGAGTTCACCTCTCTTCACATCGGGTGCTTAACAGAGCTGATGCCGGCACATAGATGTTCTCTGCTGCTTTGGGGATTAACCCATGGCTCACATCACTCAGTGGCAGAAGGAAGTCACAGGAGGTAACATCAACACAAAGCAGAGCCTCACCTTCATTGAAGCAGTGGTATTTCTTCTTCATGTCCTCAGGTCCTCTTTGGGAAAGCTGTGTCAGAAAACAGCCTTATCAATGTGGGTTCTTTTTATAATAAGAGGGAGCAATGTCTGATGCAGGTTGTGTTTCTTTTACAGAGGCTGCTAAAGCAAGATGCACTGATTTATTCAAGAGTTAAATGAGGATGAATCTTATTTTGTTATAAAGAAATGCAGCATTGCAGATTGTCAGCAGAATATAGTCACTAACAAATAAGCACATTGTAACATCAACTTTTTAATGCAAGCAGCTTAATGCTCATAGGTTTAGGATGCTTCATTGTGCTGGAGCTCAGAGAGGTATAAATCATGTGAATTTTATCTGTTATGAATAAAGTCAAATAGTTTGATAAATGTGATTTGGTGACTGGAATGATAACTAAAAGGCAAGGGAAAATGCGTGCAGTTCATTCACGTGTAAGCTGGATTTCACTGGGACTGGGACTTTCTATCCCCCTGGTTTACATGCGCTACTATGAGGTTTTCAGGTGTCTTCTGACCAAATTAACTCTGAAAACTGAAGAGTGAAAGTGAAGAAAGATCTGATTCTTTTTCTTTAATCTGAAAACACATGCGCTTGAATAAATCCATAGTTTTAAGAGTCCTAGCATTGAAAATACTGTTTGTTCCTAGAATGCGGTCCCAGTTCAAGATACCTCAACTGTATAACATAAAATATATATAATTTGGGTTAGAAAATATGTGGAATATACAGTAATGTAGCAGTTAAACTGGTCATTGTTTGAATTACAATATGGTCCAAAAGTGCCTAAATAAATCCATCGTTTTAAGTGTTCCAGTATAGAAAACCAAAAATGTCATTTGTGGCTTCAGTGTGCTTCCTGTTCCTTTATAAATACACTAAGTGAAGACCAAAAAACCATATGATTTTGGTTAAAAAGATAGCATAATATATGAATTCAACCAAAATGTGGCACTTAAAAATGTGATTGATTGGAGTCAAATATGGTCCAAAAATGAATCTCCACTTCTAAAAACTGTTATGTTTCTCTTCCTTTTGCCTCAGCAGGTAGCACCAGGTCATGGAAGGAAATCAGACCCAGACTGAATTCACCCTGTTGGGAATTACAGACAGCCCTCTTGCGCAGACCCCTCTGTTTGTGTTGTTTCTGTTGATTTACATTGTCACTCTGGTGGGGAACTTTGGCATTATCATCTTGGTTCGGGTGTCTCCCAGCCTCCACACCCCCATGTACTTCTTCCTCACCCATTTTGCCTTCATTGACATCTGCTATTCCACAGTCATCTCCCCCAGGCTGCTGGCAGACCTGTTATCAGAGGACAAAACCCTTTCTTTTCTTGGCTGCATGATGCAGTTCCTCATGTTCGCTTTCTTTGCTATTAGTGAGTGCCACCTCCTGGCCATGATGGCCTATGATCGGCACGTTGCTATCTGCCAGCCCCTGCTTTATGTGACCATCATCTCCAGCCGTGTCTGCTGGCAGCTGGTAGCATCATCTTACCTATTTGCCTTCCCCAGTGCCATCATCTTTACATGGTGCGTGTTTGGAGGTTCCTTCTGTGGTCCCAACCGCATTGACCACTTCTTCTGCGACATCGTCCCTGTGCTAAAGCTCGTGTGCTCCGACATGCACAACAGCGAGAGGGTCATCTTTGCCTTCGTCACCATCAATGTGGTGGGCACAAGTGTGGTCATTTTGCTCTCCTACATCTCTATCCTCTGCACCGTGCTGAGGATGTGCTCAGCACAGAGCACGGTCAGAGCCTTCCACACCTGTGCCTCCCATTTAACGGCTGTGTCCATATACTTTGGGTCAGCATTCTTCATGTACCTACAACCTTCTTCTAGCCACAGAAGCCTGGATAAGGTGGCCTCCATTTTCTATGCCGTGGTCACCCCCATGCTCAACCCATTCATCTACAGCCTGAGGAACAAGGAGGTGAAGGGGGCTCTGGTGAAGTGTGGGGGAAGGCTTTTCAACAGCTGGCAACATAGAAGAGTTGTATCATCCCGGACATGAACATTTCATGTGATTTGAGAAAGCCTATGGGGCACTGAAACATTGGTATTTTCCTCTAATCCTCATGATTTTATGTAGTTTCTTCCACAGTTCATGCACAAAAGTCAATTACAGTATTTAATGAGAAATGAACCCCACAAATCACTTTTTTTCTTTCTTGGAAGTAAACCAAGAGGAGAGGAACCTCAAACTTCATTTCACTTCGCAGTCACCAGCCTATATGAAGAAATTGCCCTGAATTATCCCAGGCGTCTTTTCCTCACAGGAAACACCAATCAGCTTTACTCAGTCATAACTTCTGTCACTGGTAAAGATGTCTTTTTCTTGCAAGATTCTGGACCTTGTTCCTCAGCTGTTAGAAATTTCCTCCCTCTTACCTGTGAGTTCTTTATTAAAGCTGCTGGGGTGGGAGGGAAGAGGAAGTGTAGTTTTACATTTGTTTGCTGAAAAAGAGAGAAAAGGTTTCAAAAGATTCATTGCATTTGTTTGTGCCATTCAAAGAGAAGAAGCTGGTGGGAATCAAGGTCTCAAGCTCCAGCTTTGAATATCAGGGGGAATCCCTCCCCAGGCTTCAGCTTTGAATACCAGGGGGAATCCCTCCCCAGGCTTCAGCTTCACAAGAGATTTCGCTTCAAAGAAGGGAATTGTAAGCAATGGAATTCATAACTGAGAATGATGAACTGTGCTGAGACCACCCAGTGGTAAGGAGTATTTGGGCACATCAAAGACTCATCCCATTCATTTTAAGGGGTGTTTTGCATTCATCTTATATCCTGTTTACTTAAATGGTGAGATAAATGGAAATAAGCTGGAAATAAGCACCCACATTCTATGCCCATGGCCAGCTCATGCTAAAGCACACCAGGGAGAACTAAATTGTCTATGTCACTTACAAATTAAGCCTGTTGATGGTGACTTAGATCCAGGGCAAAAGGGTCTTATACTTGTGGTCAGTGAAGGAGCCAGGATCAATGCAATTAAATGCTGAAAAGCAAGGAAGATCAGAGGCCTTTGAAATTGGAGGGCTTCCTTAAAAACCTTCACCGTGCCTTGTTTTCTCCCTTCTAGTTTGTCAAATATATGCAGTATATAGCTTAAAGGACAAACAGGAAGGGGAAAAAATGATACATAATGACATACAGCAGATACATCAGATTGTCTGCGGTATTGTAGCACAAGCCCGTTGTAGAAACAAAGCAAGACTTGCAAATCATTGAAAACCAGGTCTGTAAGGAGAAGAAATAAGGTGGGGAAACGAAAGTCCTTGGTGTCAAATGAAGCCCTGAAGTCTTCTGGGACAAAATCAGCAGATAAACATCATGCCAAAGCCACTGCCAAAACAAAGTGTTGCCAATCAAACGAACACTAAAAACCTAATATTATACTTGGTAAAGGAGATAGCACAAAGGATCAGAAAATAACACTTGAATGTAATATTCAATTTCTTACTCTAATTTCCCTCACTGATTGGACTATCTCCTAATTTGCCCATGCAGGGATATGGTCTGGATGGAGAGGGACTGCCAGAGGAGTGAGCACTGGTTGGGCTGTTGGGGGCAGAGGGTAATGGGTTCTATTCTGCAGGAACACGGGGAGTGCCACAGGGGTTTGTCTCCTTAATCTAAACCGAACTGAAGAAGAACACCATTGTGCGCAGGGACCATCCCACAGTACCTGAGCAAGAGAAGCAGAGCAGAAACAGAGACCTAGGCCAAGTTCAGCCAAGATTTCAGAGCATCAAGCGAGTTGGGGATTATGAGGAGGTCCAAGACGAAGCCAAACCAAGCCAACACAGATCAAGTCAATCCCTGAATCGGGGTCAGGTTCAGCCATCACTAGGAAGGCACATGAACAAGCTTTGGTCACCATCAAAGGATTCCACAGGAGCCTGGATAAGGTGGCCTCCATCTTCTATGCCGTAGTCACCCCCATGCTCAACCCATTTATCTACAGCCTGAGGAACAAGGAGGTGAAGAGGGCTCTGGTGGAGTGAGGGAGAAGGCTTTTCAGCCACTTACAACACAAAAGAGTTGTATCATCCAGGACATGAAGATTTCATGTCAAGTGAGAAAGCCTATAAGACACTAAAACATTGGGATATTCCACTAACCCTCCTGATTTTATGTAGGTTCTACCACAGTTCCTGAACAAAAGTCAGTGACAGTATTGCATGAGAAATGGACCCAGCCTTCACATCTTCCCTGGAAGAAATCAAGAGGAGAAGGAACCTCAAACTCCAATTTACTTTGCAGTCACCAGCCTATATGAAGAAACTGCCCAGAATTATCCCAGGCCTCTTTTCCTCACAGGAAACACCAATCAGCTTTATTCAGTTATAACTTTTGTCACTGATTGTCGTGGTTTATACCCTAGCCAGACAGCTTGTTCACTCACTCCCAGTGAGTGGTGCTGGGCTGAGAGCAAGCGAGGCCCCACCCCACCCCAGGGCTCTCCCCTTCCCCGCTCCTGGAGGGATGGGGAGGAGGATTGAAAGAGTGCAACTCCCATGGGGAGATAAGAGCAGTCCAGCAATCAATGTACAACACAAATCACCACCACTACCACCAACGACAACAATGATAAGAGAAAATAACAAGGGAAGAGAATACAATACCACGGGCCAAGAAATGAGTCCCACTCGGAAGCCTGTGTCCTTCCAGGTAACTCCCAGTTACCCCCCACCCCGAGCATGACGTGCTGTGGTACGGAACACCTCCTTGGCTAGCCTGGGTCAGGCACCCCGTCTCTGCATCCTCACAGCTTCCCCTCCTCCCTGGCAGAACATGAGCCTCACAATGTCCTTGGTCAGGGTAAACATCACTTAGCAACAACCGAAAACATTGGTATCACCAGCACTGTTCCCAGGCTGGAAGTCAAAACACAGCACTGCACAAGCTACCACGAAGGAGAAAAATGACTGCTACTGCTAAACCCAGGACACTGATAAAGATGAATTTTTTTTTTTTTTTTTTTTTGCAAGATTCTGGACCTTGTCCCTCAGCTCCAATAAAATTCTTCACTCTTACCTGTGAGCTGTTTAGTAAAGCTGCTGGGGTGGGAGGAAGAGGAAGTGTATTTTTACGTTTGCTTGCTCAAGAAGAGTCAGAAAAAAGGTTTCAAAAGATTCATTGCATTTGTTTGTGCCTTTCAAAGAGAAGAAGCTGGTGGGAATCAAGGTCTCAAGCTCCAGCTTTGAATATTAGGGGGAATCCCTCCCCAGGCTGCAGCTTCGCAAGAGATTTCACTTCAAAGAAGGGAATTGTAAGCAATAGAATTCATAACTGAGAATGATGAACTGTGCTGAGACCACCCAGTGGTAAGGAGTATTTGGGCACATCAAGGGCTCATCAGATTCAGAATTAAGGGGTGTTGTACATTTCTTAAGTCCTATTTACTTAAATGGTGAGATAAATGGAAATAAGCTGGAAATAAGCACCCACATGCCATGTCCATGCCCATGTCAGCACGTTGCTATCTGCCAGCCCCTGCTTTATGTGACCGTCATCTCCAGACGCGTCTGCTGGCAGCTGGTAGCATCATCCTACCTATTTGCCTTCCTCAGTGCCATCGTCTACACATGGTGCGTGTTTGGAGGTTCCTTCTGTGGTCCCAACCGCATTGACCACTTCTTCTGTGACAAAGTTCCTGTAGTAAAGTTCCTGTGCTCTGACACCCACAGCAGCAAGATGCTCATCTTTGCCTTCGTCACCATCAGCATCATGGGCACAAGTGTGGTCATTTTGCTCTCCTACATCTCTATCATCCGCACCGTGCTGAGGATGTGCTCAGCACAGAGCAGGGCCAGAGCCTTTCACACCTGTGCCTCCCATTTGAGGGCTGTTTCCATATTCTTTGGGACAGGATTCTTCATGTACCTGCAACCTTCTTCTAGCCATAGGAGCCTGGATAAGGTGGCCTCTTGTCTTTTACACCGTGGTCACCCCAATGCTCAACCCATTCATCTACAGCCTGAGGAATAAGGAGGTGAAGGGGGCTTTGCTGAAGTGTGTGAGGAGGTTGCTCAACCACTGGCAACATGCAAGACTTGTGTCATGCAGGACATGAATACATCAAGTAAGCAGGTCTAAACTAATGGGATTTTCCTCTAATCCTCATGACTTTATACATCTTCTTTCACAGTTCCTACACAGAAGTCAGTTACCTTGAATTATCCCAGGCTTCTTTTTCCTCACAGGAAACACCCATCAGCTTTATTCAATTCTCACTTTTGTCACTGATAAATACCCACTTTTCTTGCAAGATTCTTAACCTTGTCCCTCAGCTCCAATATGCGTAATATGTGTATGTGTGTAAATATATATATGTGTGGCAGAGGAATACAAATAAAATGTGTAAAACTGGTATTACAAGTGACACACACAGACTTGGTGGACTCAATGTATGGATCTGCATGACTGTACTGCACAGAATCATCTCTATCTTGAGAAAAAACTGATTTTCTCACCTCCTGGCTTGCTTTATAAATCAGAGCTTCAGAGAAGTAAATTCTCCACCTCTCCTTTTTAGCTCTGTTCAGTTCTACAGGGTGTTGGGTGTCAATGTTTGGCTGCATCAACCAGAGACTCCTGTCTTTACCGGTTATTACTTTCTATCTTAGATGGTTGGGATACGATGCCAGCAGCCTCACTGGGCACATCACCCATGGCAATCTTGTTTCCTCTCCCCTTCAGATGTAACTGAAGAATTTCTTTAGTGATTTCACAAGTTAAACATCTGGAGCTGTTAATTCCTCAACCTTTGAGATGGCTTGTCTTCTGGGAGACAGACTAGAACAAGATCAGAAACTGCTCTGAAGTTACTGAGAAAGAGCATTTCTTAGAGATGGCACCTCAGCATCTTCAAAGCAAAGAAACATTGAAGCTGGAAAGATTAAAGAGTCTTTACTAAGACTTGAAACCCATTTCCAAACAAAAGTGCTGCTCATCTACTAAAGACCATAATTCTAATTTATTTTGAAATGGAGGAGATACTAATGACCA